ACAACAACAACAACAACAACAACGGCATAGCCCAAGGCGAGTTGTGCTGTTAACCAAAAGGCAGCGCCTCTCTGGCTGTTCGGGCCCCCTGGCTGCTCCTCGGGAGAAAGATGGGCAGTCTCGAAAAGTGAAAGTTACAGCTTCCCGAAAACCCATGGGAGGGTCAGCTGTAAGTCAGTTCCAACACGATGGCAATGAATTGCCATCATTACGTCAGGGCAGTGACTCGTCCACCTCTGGCAGCCTCGGACAATCTCTTGCAGGCAACGAAGAACCAAAAAATAAACTGTGACCCTTCGCGGCAAAGAGGGTAGTCTCTATCCAAAGGTCTGGGTGGAGGGATGCAGACTTGCCAAATTACCTTAGACCCCGAATAAAGGAAAATGCACGTGACTACGCGTACCCTCCTCAATTTGGGCGCCCAGCCTGTGCTGCGGCTGCGCGGGCCTCGCCCATCAGCCTTCGATTTACTTCTATTGGTTGCCTTACGAGAGCCCCAACCTCTCGGGGGAAGAACAAGACATTTAGCAGTGGGATGTGCAAATAGTTATCACAAGCCTGACGTCACGCATCCACCAATCACAGGAGGCCATCTTCAGCTTTGCCCAATAAGAAAGAGCACAGCTTTCCCGACCCGCGGCGTTTGATTCTCGCCCAGCTAGAAGTCTTGAGTTCCGCGTCCGCTGCAGTAGGCGCTCCATCCGGAAGGCCAGGTTCCGGAGGAGGACGGCTGCTCTCCCTGCTGTTTGTTTTTCCGCTGAGTAAGGGACTGCAGGGCGAACACGGAGGACCCCATCCTGCCCTGGCTGGGAACGTCTCTCTCACCTGTTGTCAAGGCCGGCGGGCGGACACCGGGTTTCATGGACCGACTGGACCAGGTAACGCCCTCACCTTGCCCGTCTCCGTTGTCAAGGGGGATGTGGCGGTCTTGATGGTCGCTTTTGCTGAAATTTTGAGTTGGACCCCAGCCTGGTTCAGAGTTCTGCGGAACTTACCCCGCCCCGCAGAACCTTAACCCAAAGCCTGCATTTTAGGTCCTTTACCTATTGTTAATTGATATTTGTTAATTAGGCCCCCTTTGAACTCTAAACTCCAATGCCACACCTCTTCTGTCTGAGGGCCTGAATCCATCAGCAGCTCCTTAGGAGAAAGTGCGATTTGCGTCCTCGGAAACCCTCTGGAATGTCAGCTATGTATCTGTTCAGATTGCACAGCAATGAGTTGACTTTTAGGCTTCTTCATATACCAAATAATTTTTAAAAAAATTTTTATCTTTTTTTATTAATTGCTACACATTTTCTTCCCCTCTCTTCCTCAGCCCACCTCGCAGTGCACCCCTTTGTTCTAGATTGTTGACATACATGTAATGCCTAATCATATAATCCTTTCGGACAGTTCTTCCCCTCATATATTCTACTGCAGTGTTGTTTATTCACTCTTTTCCCAGTCTCTCCCAACCCCCATCCTTCGTGTCTGTACTATTTTATAACAGTGGTATTATGCAGTATTTGCCCTTTTTGTGATTGAGATAATTAACTCAACATAATGCCCTCCAGGCTCCCCCATAGTGTGTAATGTTTTACAAGTTCATTGTTTTTTTAGTGCTGCATAATATTCCATTGTGTGGATGTACCATAGTTTTTCTGTCCATTTGTTGAGAGGCACTTGGGTTGTTTCCATCTCTTTGCTGTTATGAATAATGCAGCAATAAACATGAGTGTGCACACATCTGTTTGAGTCATAGTGCTGGTTTCTTTAGGGTATATTTCCAGTACTGGAATTGCTAGGTCAAATGGTATTTCTACTTCCAACTTTTTGAGAAGGTGCCAGACTACCTTTCCTTACTGTTCTACATTCCTACCAGCAGTGAATAAGAGTTCTAATATCTCCACAACTTTGCCAGCATTTGTTGTTTGCTGGCCTGTTGAACTTTGCTATTGTTGCTGGGGTGAAATGATACCTCATAGCCATTTTGATTTGCATGTCTTGGTTTGATTCCATCTCTTTGCTATTGTGGATAATGCGGAAAGAAAATGGGTGTTCATATATCTATTTGGGTGGCAACTCTGGTTTCTTTAGGGTATATTCCCAGTAGTGGCATTGCTGGGTCAATTGGTAATTCTATACTGCCTTCCCTAGTAGTTGCACCACTTTACACTCCCACCAGCAGTGAATAAGGGTTCCAGTCTCCACAACCTTGCCAGCATTTATTGTTTGCTGCTCTGCTGAACTTTGCTATTGTTACTGGGGTGAGATGATACCTCATAATAGCTTTTATTTGCAGCTCTCTGAGAGCTAAAGATATTGAACATTTCTTCATGTGCTTGTTTGCCATCTGAATGTCGTCTTTGGTGAAGTACACCCTATGGTTTTATTATACAATTTAGCAGATAAATTGAAGCTTCCCTTACAAGCTCTTTTTGTCTTCTCCCCGCCCCCATGGCTTCCTTCAAAACAGTGCTGTACAAGAGAGATTAGTCCTTGGTGAAATAGGTTAGGAAAACACTCTCTTAGGTTAGTTAGGGACAATTTATGCCACAGTTTATTACCTTCAGAACTAACATTTTCAAAATTTCCCCCCCAAGGTTTCAAGAAGAGAATGATGATTCTTTGAATTTACTTCTGTATTTGCTTCATCAATGTCTCTCCTACTTAGTATCTTAAGAGAGATGCTGGAATATTTTGGTGTACCCATTGACCAGGTAAGTATCTTCTAACAGCCTTGAATTAACTTGTTTTTGCCCTTTGTTTTCATTTTGATAATGATTGGTTTATAAATATTACATTTTGGATTTTTAATTGTTACTTCCCTTTAGGTGGAAAACATGTAAGTTTGCAACGGTTATGGCTTTGACAATTTGAATTAAGAACCTGTTTACACTAATAGATCACGCCAACAGAATATAGAAGAGGCAAAATACAAATAGCAATTTTATAGAATTTTATTGATTGCATAGAGAAAAAATAAATGTACTTTTTACTCTATAGTGGTTTATCTCAGATATTCATAAAACAGGCTTGATATTTGGGTTTACAACTAATTGCAACTTAAAGTTCAAATCATTCAGGATGACTCTGAAAGAAAGAGAATGGCTGGGTCAGAAAATGAAAACAAATTCCAATGTGTGATCAAGCTAGATTGACATTTTTGAGTTTGAACATGATGGAGATTGTGAGGATGGTGCAGGATAGAGCAAGAATTCATAGGGTTCTATGAGTTATAGTTGACTCTGGCATCTAACAACAGCAACACTTGTTGAGTATCTATGTTTGGCTCTGTGGCTCAATTTTCAACCAAATAATAGACCTAAAAAATGATCTAGAAGCTTTGGTCTGTTGGGCTGTTAACTAGAAGGCCAAGCATCTTTGGTGTTTGCATTTACCAGCTGCTTTTCAGGAGAAGGAGAAACCATTTTTTTCCTATTAAGATTTACAGCCTTGGTAACTCAATGGTGGATTGCTTTAAGTTGTAACTGAATGGATGACAGTGAGTTTGAGTTTGATAGGTTGATCAGTAACACCTACGAGATACTCACTCACTCCTTAGACACATCAACCTTATTAGGACAAAAGAGCAGCCTTTACATAAGCAGCCTTTATATAAAGCCATTTAGGAGGATTAATAGAAATAAGAATTATAGGAGATGAAGTGAGAAGAATGCAATTACATTATGGGTATTGTAATTAATGTTATGAAATGTGTATGAATGATTGAGTGGAAATCCAATTCACTTTGTAAACATTCAGATAGCACATGAAAGACTCTATGGTCCTACAGATGATAGAAGTAGTACATAATTATTATACTTACACTGTTTAAAAGATGAACATAAGAAACTTAAGGAAGATAACTAATATAAGACTGAATATGAGGAAAAGAAATTAATATCAGGGCTTATAGAATGGGCAAAATAGCTAAGGTTAACAATATTTTGGACAAAAGCAACTTGAAGAATGATAATGTTATTATGAATAGGCAAGTCAGTGAGTGAGTAGAGAGATAAGCTGAACCAGAATTGCTGTTGAGTTTGTAAATGGAAATAGCTGGCAGACAGATAAATGACTCAAGAGTATAGAAGGAAATTTAGACTCAAGAGTCATTGACAGTGTTTTGACAATTGGATCCAAGGAAGCTCTTTGCATATAGCTGAAAATAGCAGAGTAATTGTCTGTGTTTTATCCACTATGCAAAAACATTTGATTGTGTGAATCATAACAAACTATGGTGAACAGTGAGAAGAATGGGAATCCCAGAACACTTACTTTCGCTTATACAAAAATCTATCCCTAGACCAAGAAGCTATTGTCCAAACAGAGTAAGGGAACACTGCATGGTTTAAATCAAAGAAGTTGTACATCAGGGCTGTAATCTTTTTCCATACCTATTCACTCTGTATGGTGAACAAATTAGAGCTTTATGAAGAAGAGTATGGCAACAGGATTGGAGGAAGATTTATCAAATTACCTGTGTTATGCAGATGATATAACCTTGCTTGCTGAAATAGAGGACACGAGATACTTTGTTGCAGAAGTTCAATGACTGTAGCCTTTAATATGGATTACATCTCACCATCTTTACCACTGGGCCAATAGGCAACATCATACTAGATGCAGTTTTCAGTCTTTTGATTGAAAAATGCCAACAATTTAATCTTGCTTGGATCCACAATCAACACCCTTGATACCAGAAGTCAGGAAATCAGGAGACATGTGTTATTAAGTGCCACTGAGTCACTAGGGTACAACAGCTCTGAACCCTGCTTGTCCTGTGCCACCCTTGTGGTCTCTGACACACCCAACCCATTACCCCAGTCACTGAGTCAGTTCATATCATCTAGGATCTTCCTCTCTTATGCTTATGATCTCCCAACCATGATGTCCCTCCTCAAGGATTAGTCCCTCCTTGCAACATGCCCAAAGAACATCAGACAGAACTTCAGAATCCTTGCCTCCGAGGAGAAGTCAGGTTTCACCCTCTCCAGCACGAAAATGTTTGTTCTCTTTGCGGTTCATAGTATATTCAATACTCTTCTCCAGCACCACAACTCAAAGGCATCAATTCTCCTATCATGCATGGTTATTGTCCAGCTTTCTGATGCATAATATGTAATTGCAAAGACCATTGCCTGGATCTAGTAAACCTTAGTCTCCAGACTGACCTTGTTGCTCTTCAGTACTCTGGAGAGATCCCTGTCAGCATGTTTTCCCCATGCAATTGCTCTTTTGATTTCCTCGCTGCTGGTACCAAGAGTATTGATTGGTATTGGGAAAATCAGCTGTCAGGGATTTTTCCAAAGTCTTAAAGAGCAGTGATGTCAGTTTAAAGACTAAGGTGCTCCTGAATAAAGCCACAGTCTTTCCAGGTACCTGCTATGTCCTTGAGATCTGGGCAGAGAACAAAGTTGGTAAGGGAAGAATTGATGCATCTGAGTTGTGGCATTAGAGAAGAGTGCTCACTATACAATTGACTGCCAGTCTTTCCAGGTACCTGCTATGTCCTTGAGAGCTGGGCAGAGAACAAAGTTGGTAAGGGAAGAATTGATGCATCTGAGTTGTGGCATTAGAGAAGAGTGCTCACTATACAATTGACTGCCAAAAGAATAAACATATGTCTTGGAGAAAGAGCAACCAGAATAAAATAATTCTAAAAGTTATTTACTACCCATTGAAATGATAGTCTCTAGACATATATTGAGCTATACAAACTGTAGTCTGTAGTGAGTTGTACCGTAACCCAAAGACCTTTTGATGTTTTGAAACCATTAGTGTCTCTGAGGGACAGAGATGAACAGTGACCTACCTGTGAAACCCACTGGAGGGTCAATGATGACTCAGTTCCAAATTGAAGACAATGACAGTGAGTGAGAAGATCCAAGTGTGGCTACCAGAAAATTTTGTTTACTCGTGTGTGTTTGGGGATGGTGCTACCTGAATCACAAGGATTACAAAACTGACTACGAGGTGAAAGTTTGCAATCTAATTGGGGGGTGGAGGACACTGAAACCAACCCCATAGCCATGTAATTCCGACTTAGGGTGGCTCCACGTGTAGAGCTGCCCCACAGGATTTTCTTGATTATGATCTTTCTGGAAGCCGACTGCCAGGTTTTCCTTCCACAGTACTGCTTGCTGGGATTGAATTGCCAACCTGTAGGTTAGTAGTTGAACACAAGCCACATGTATGGTGCTCATTAGAATGAGCTGAGGAATTCAGAGACTGTGAAGCTCATGAGAGCGGAAATAATCGAATTTGTAGTGGAATGTTAAAGGCAGATCAAAACGGAATCAGCATTGGCGCTAGACTCTAAGCATAAATACATAGCAACTAGGATAACTTTGGCTGGTGTTTGAGACAGGAAAATTATCACTGAAAACCATGTGTTTTTGTAAATCAGCACATAGATACAGTAGGGCCAAGTTGCACATGTAAAAGGTGAGAAGACTACATATGGAATGCATGGAATAGGTTATGGAGACTTGCTGCTCGTTGGTAAACTACAGCAGGTTAATGGAATTGATACTCAGCTGTAGTCTTAAATATCTGCATTTGATCGGAATTCAGAACCATTACTCCTGCAGTTAAACAGGAGAGCATGGCTTCTCTGTGCTTAAAACACAGAGTTGTGCTGCTAACCCAAATGCTGTACGTGACCAGTAGTCCGAATCTGTAAGCAGTTCCTGAGGGAGCAAGTCTTCTCTCATTAAGAATTACAGCCTCTTGTTCACAATAGCAAAAAGTTGGGAACAACCTAAGTGCCCATCATCAAACGAATGGATAGAGAAGCTGTGGTATATTCACACAATGGAATATACTACACTGCATTGAAAAACAAGGAACTCATGCAATATTCTTCAAAATGGGTGACCCTCGAGGGCATTTTGCTGAGTGAAATATCTCAGTCACAGAAGAACAAATACTGCATAGTGCCACTGTTGTAAAATGGGACTGATATAGGGGTTAGGGGGGGAGACTGAGAAAGATGGGATAAATTATGTATACTACATTGAAACGGATGAGAGAGAGAACTGTTTAAAAAGTATATATGATTAAGTATTATTGTCATGACATAAGTCCAGAACGAAAGCCGTATAGTGGAGTGGACTTGAGGTGAGGGATTATATAACAATGAAATAATTTTTCTTTCGCTTTTCAGAGAGGAGCTACCTGGTGGGGGAGGGGTGGGCAGGGAGAAAAGTGCAACAATGAATGAATGGAGCTCTAAAAATCTCTGTAAATTTTCATTAAAATTAATAGTAATAAAAAAAGAAGCTAAAAAAAGAATTACAACCTGAGGACTTGAGGGAAAATTAAAAATGTTTGTAAATTAAAAAAAAAAGAAAAAAGAATTAAAGCCTCAGAAACCTGACAGAGCATTGCTGTGAGTTAGAACAACTGGCTGTGGGAGGAGACATTGCCCATCTTTCTGGGCTGCTGATGGAGTTGAGCCGCTGGAGACTCATAGACGTTGGGTTAACAGTGCAACCTCGCGCCACCATCAGAGCTCCGTTTTTGAGTAATCGAAGCTTATTTCACTTCTAGTGTTCTTTCAAGAACTGAGTCTGAGCAGATACATTCTACTTTAGATCAACAACACTTCTCTGTATTGCCTAGGGCCTGGTTTATTTTTCTCTTCTTTGAAGAAATTACTTTGAATATTCCAGTCTATATATACTTTTTTAAAAACAAATGTTATTTTACTTATGATATTTGATTTTTTCCATGTACATATAAGCATGCTTAATCAGAATACACATTAAACAATATTTTATGTTTAAATAGATTTTACCAATTTGGGACACTAAAGCATATGGATCCACTCGAAGTATCGTTCGTGTTATTGGTAGAATACTTCCTTTAGAACCTTGCCCACGGCCCAATTTTCAGGTAAGTCAGCATGTATAGTAAATCCTAGGGTTAAGAGGCAGAACAACCAGAAATTGAAATATTGCCTGCACTCCACAAGTCTGTTATTTCACCCAGCCCACAGGTCACTCCATGTGCTATTGTTTCTTTAGCTAATTTGTTGGACAGATGATCAGGTTCCACACAACATCTGAGCAGCCTGTTCTATTCTAGTTATGTTTTATAGTTGATGAGGTTAACTAGAGGAGAATATTACTACCTGTCTTGAGAAGAACATGTCCCCTAGTGTTTTTTCTTGCTAATGCAAGCTTGTTTTTCTACTTAATACTCCTTTTCACACTTTCGAATTTTTAAAGTATTTAATTTCTGTGGAGCATGGACCTTCTAACCCTCCTGCAGAAGTCTGACTGGTTTTTCTTTTTTTTTTCTTTCTTTAGTTGGTCCCACTTTTGAGCTCTGTGGAGCCTGGTAACTGTGGATCTGTGGTTCCATCCTTTGCTGATGTTTTGTGCGTGGCAAATGATGAAGAAGACAAATATTTCAGATTTCGGTAATTTTACTTGCTGCTTTTGGCAAGTGATGTGTAGGTGTAGTCTGAAGTCTTGCATGTTTTAAATTTTGTATGTATCAAGCTTGTGCATTTTCCTTTTCTCTGTGCTATATCTTCCTAATACTTTCGTCATTTCTTCAGCCAGTTTTTATTAATCCCTATTTCAGTCTAAGTAGAGTGTACCAGGTCTAGGAAGAAATATATTAAAGGAATGTTGGAGATAATTGTGTTCAGTTTTGAGAGAAAGTTACTTCCCGTGCTAGAGACCAAATTCTTTAGTTGAAATTTAAACTTACTTGAAGCTTTTATAGTGCTTACTGTGTACCACACATGTGTGTTATATATTTAAAAAAGAGCATCTATTTCTCCTGTAGTTGCTAGGTGCTGTGAAGTCGAGAAAAACTCAGTGACCTTGTGAACAACAGATCTGAGCCCTGTCCTATCCTGTGCCGTCCTCATCTTTGGCACTCTTGAGCCCTGTGCTGCCCTCACTGCGTCAGCCCATCTTGTTGAGGGTCTTCCTCTCTTTGGCTGACCCTCCACCTTTCCAGTCGTGATGTCCCTTTCTAAAGGAATAGCCTCCCTCAGCGACATACAGAGATGGAGCTTTGTCATCCGTGCCTCTGAGGAGCATTCTGACTGTACCCACTCCAAGCCATACCTGTTTGTTGTTTTGGCAGTCTGTGGGATATTCAGTACTCTTCTTCTCCACCACAGCTCAGAGGCATCAGTTCTCCTTCTGTAATTCTTATTCATTGTCTTGCTGTCAGGTGCATAGCAAGTGATTAAAGACTTTGGCCTGAATCAGGCGAACCTTAGTATTTTCACAGGGAATACTAAATTATGTATTTATACATTCTGGTACAAGTTGTCAGCACAGTGATATTATCTGGAATGACCCCAAAGTGAAGTGTGTGTTATTAAAATATTCAGGGTAACTTTTACATTGTGAACATGATTTTTCAAGGTTCAAAAATCTATAATTCTATGAATTTACCCCTGACGTAGTGCTGGATATTAAACCTTTAAGTTTCTCACACAGAACTGTGAAATAGATTAATGTCTACTATGTTTAAAGCTAATAGGTAGAAGCGTTAATTCTAGGTAGCAGGATGATTATTTATGCTTTACAAGGTCTTTTCATTAGTTTATTCCCTTTTGCTGACCATTTATTAAGGGCTACATTCTATTCTAGATACTGAGAATGTAAAGTTAAGTAAAATATGCTCACCCTCAGGGAGTCTGGAATCATGAAAGACAACGATTACTTTGTTTAAGAATTTATTGCTGTCTGTGAAATCACTGATCCCTTCCTCTCTGCCTCCCTCCGTTTACCCATCTATCCACCTACAGAAATTGTGTATGGAAAAATGATGATGAGAATATAGAGGTTTTCAAGCGTTGGGATCCTTTGTCACTTGATCCAAGATGTAACAAACTAATGCAGACTGACCTGCCTGCAAATAATGCTGCAATTAAAAAAATCGCTGCCCTTGAACAAGAGCTCACTTCTCTCCGTGCCCAGATTGCTGCGATTGTGGAAATGCAGGAACTGAGAAACAGTGCGGATCTGGGTAACTCACCTCTGGAGTTATGTTTCAATTAGAGGACTGTAGTGTTGTAATGTGTTGCTGTTAGGAGTTTTGGCCAACTTGTAGGAGACCTTTCAGTGGGTTTCCAGAGGCTGTCAGTTGTATGGGAGGAGACTGCCCATTAGGACCTGACCCACCAGAGGGTTTTCAGAGGTAGTAAATCTCACCAGAGGAGATTGCCCATCTTTCTCCCATGGAGCAGCTGATCAGTTCAATGTGTCTGTCATTGGGTTGGAAGCACAGCACCTTACACTAAGCCACGAGAGCTCCCTCAGTTAGGTGAGGCTGTTGTTTGCTGTCAAGTTGGAACCGACTCATAGCTGACCCTCCAGTAGGTTTTCAGAGACCATTAATTGCATGGGAGGAGATTACTTATCTGAAATTTAAGCCATTGTAATTCTGAATACGAATGTTATTTATACAATACTAATATGTCTTGTGAATGACACTAAATATTATAAAAGAATGTGATGTATACAGAGCTAAATCATTCTTGATTTTTATTTAGAGTAGCGAGCTCTGGTGGCTTAGTGGTAAAGAGTTAATGCTGGCTAAGGCTTGTGGTTCAAGTCCACCAACTGCTCTGTGGGAGGAGGATGGACAGTCTCTAAGAACTCACTGAAGGGTCATCCTTGAGCTGGTTCTGACTCCACAGTATATACAACAATAATAGAGAAGGAAATAGTTTTTCTATTGTATTTTTGTATTGAAAGTCTCTTCTAAGTAAACTTTTCTAATGTTTGACAGTTATTAATAAAGAGGGAAAATGTACTAATTTGCAAGAATAGTATATGCTTAAGGTTTCATATATTTGTAGTTTTAAGTTATCACTGCTCTGTTTCCATAGGATTTATATGCATATTTTCCAGATACTCCTTTCTCTTAAGTATTTAGAGATGTCCCTTGTTTTAAACAATATACATATGCATATATATTGTCATACTATACATATATCTATCTATAGATGCATGTGTGTGTATGTGCAAACGCGCACCTACTTATAGAGATGGATATTGAGTAATTTCAACAAAAGATTTTGCTCCTATAGAATGATGTACTATATATACATATGTTGTTGTTGTATACCATATGTTGTTGATGTTGTTATGTGCCCCCGACTTGCCTGTGACTCATAACAACTCTATGTACAACAGCCCTAAACCCTGCTCTGTCCTGTGCCAACCTTATTGTTTCTGACACACCTACCGCCATTACTCCAGTCATTGAATCAGTCCATCTCATCAAGGGTCTTCTTCTCCTGTGCTGTCCCCCCATCCTTCTAAGCATAATGTCTCTCTCCAAGGACTGGTCACTCCTTGGCACATGTCCAAAGTATGTCAGATGAAGTTTCAGGATCTTTGTCTTCAAGGAGCAGCCTGGCTTCACCCTCTCTAGGCCGAACCTGCTTGTTGTCCTAACAGTTCGTGGTATATATACTACTCTTCTGCAGCACCACAGCTCAAAGGCATCAATTCTCCTTCTATCATCCCTAGTCATTGTCCAACTCTTTGATGCATACCAAGTAACTGGAAAGACTATGGCCTGGGTCAGGCACACCTTAGTCTCCAGACTGATATTGTTCTTTAGTACTCTGGAGAGATCCCTGACAACAGACTTTCCCAGTGCAATTCGACTTTTGATTTCCTGGCTGCTAGTACCAAGTGTGTTGTGTTGATTGTGGAGCCAAGCAAACTAAAGCTGTTAATAATCTCAATCTCTTCAACATCTATCATAATGCTTCCAGTTGGCCCAGAGATGAGAATATTTGTTTTCTTGATGTTGAGCTTCAATCCATATTGAAGACTGCAGTCCTTGACCTTGCGCAACAAGCGCTTCAGATTCTCCTCAGTTTCAGAGAGCATGGTTGTGTCATCTGCATAATGCAGATCTTGATAAGTGTTCCTGCAGTCTTGATGCAACATTTCTCCTCATAGAGCCCAGCCTCCTGAATAATATATAGATTGAGAAGGTATGGAGACAGAATACATCCCTGACACACCCCCTTCCCAATTTTGAATCATGCAGTGTTTCCTTGCTCTGTTCTGACGACTGCCTCCTAGTCCAAGGATAGGTTTCACATTAGCACAATCAAGTGTTCTGGGATTCCCATTCTTCTAAGAGTCAGCCACAGTTTGTTGTGATCCACACAGTCAAATGCCTTTGCATAGTCAATGAAATATAGATAGACATTCCTCTTGTACTCTCTGCTTTCAACCAAGATCCATTTAACATTAGCTATAATATTCCTCGTACCACAGCCTTTTCTAAATCTAGCCTGCATATCTGACAGTTTTCTGCTGATGTACTGCTCTAGTTGTTTTTAGGTAATTTTCAGCAGAATCTTGCTTGCATGTGATATTAATGATATTGTTTGATAATTTCTACACTCTGTCAGGTTACCTTTCTTTGCAATGGGAACAAATACAGATCTGTTCCAGTCAGTTAGCCAGGTCACTGGTGAACATATCCAGGGCAGCATCTTATTTGTTGAAATATGTAAATTGGTATTCTGTCAATTCCTGGGGCCTTGTTTTTTGCCAATTCTTTCAGAGCAGCTTGAACTTCCTTCATCATGAGAGCCTCTTGCTCGTACATTGTTTCATGAAATTCTTCTGTGTCCACCAATTCCTTTTGGTACAATGACTCTGTATACTCTTTCCATCTTCTTTTAGTGCTTCCTGGATCATTTAATATTCTGCCCAAAGCATCCTTAAGTATTGCAACTCAAAGCTTGAGTTTGTTCTTCAGTTTCTTTAACTTAAGAAATGCCGAGGGAGTTTGGCCCCTTTAATTTGCTGACTCCAGCTCTTTGCACATTTCATTACAATACTTTAATTGGTCTTCCCGCGCTGCCCTTTGAAGTCATCTGTTCAACTCCTTAATGTCTTGATCTCTTCTCTTTCCTTTGGCTTCTAGGTGCTCTATAATTTCTATATAGATGGATTTTATAATACAGAACATTAATAAATGCCAAGGTGATGAGGATGGTTAACTAGCTTGGCTGCTAACTGAAAAGTCAGAGGTTGGAGTCCATGTTTCTAATCTGACACATATGGGGTCTCCCTGGGTCAGAATCACCTTGTCAGCCACTGGTACCATATTCGTAAACATTGATAAATAACACAGGCACACACAGGGAGCCCTGGTGTAAATGTTAAGTTCTCAACTGCTAACCAAAAGGTATGAGGTTCAAACCTGGCAGTGACTTCATGGGAGAAAAGACCTGGCAATCCTCTCCCATAAAAATAACAGCCTGGGAAACCACATGAGACATTTCTCCTGTCTTTTACGCTTCCTCTGAGAGGAATTGAACTGATGGCACACAACAACAATAGCATCAGCACGTGTGCGCACACACACACGCTCACACATTCTCTCTCTTAACTTTTTCTCAGCAAACGTTTCTTTATAAATGACACTCTAGGAACAAAACTGTTGTGTCAAGTTAACTACTCAGCTCTTACTTGGAAAAATATATGCTTGAGTGTTTCTGCAAGGTCATCAACTAGATAGGTAGACCAGCTTGCATATGCGTTTCTAACTACCAGCTGTTGACCATGGTTTAGCTTTTTAAAAATGGGAAATCAGATTGTCAATTTTGTTGATCAAGTACTTTCCTAATGTACTCAGGGCACACTGAGAATTCCTAAATTGGATTAACAGTAAATTTATTATGTGATTTGACTTTTTTTTTTAATTAATTTTTTTAATTATTATTTTATTATTTTGTGTGTGTGTGTGTGTGTGTACTGTCATATCAGATCTTACTGGTACAGCAGGAGATTGTCCTCCTTTTCCCAGCAGAGCATCTGGTGGATTTGAACTGTGCGCCTCTGGGATTGCAGTGCAGTTTCTTGCCACTAGGCCACCAGAGCTCCCCTGTGATTTGACTCTTATAGAAATTGCTAAGCAGATGGAAATTTGCTTCTGATTTCTGGCTACTGTATTACTCTTTTCGCGTTGGTAGGAAATTTATTCCTGGTTTTATTCTAGTTGGTTCCACATATGTGTTATATTGGAGAGAATTTTGCTGGAATTTCAACAGCTTGTTTTATTTTCAGGATCCTTTGGCTCGAATGATGAGCCTAGTGGTTTGGGCCAAATGCTGCCATCAGAAAGTACCCAGCTGAGGGTGGAAGCGCATCAGTTCTCAAGTGTTGAGCCTCCCTCGCCTCCTTCTCCCCCACCGCTTCCTCCACAGTCTTCTCTCCTGGCCCCACATACTCTTCCTGCTGTACAGCTGGGATCCAGTATTTGTAACTCAGACAATTCAACAAGTGAAACAAGAAAGCAACAGCTGGGTGCTAGTAAAACCAGTTCTAGTCATCAGGCAAGCTCTCAGAGACATAGAGATGTTCCTAATATGTTGGAGGTTCTAAAGGATATGAATCAAGTTAAGCTTCGTGCTGTTGAACGGTATGTAATTTGAGAAATGAACTGAAAACTCATCAGATGTTTTGAAAGATTATTTAATCAAAGTAATGTCTGTCTTAATTTATTTAATCAAACTAATATCTGTCTTCAACACAACACAACACAACACAACACAACACAACACAAAAGAGACAAGGTAATTCAGGTCATCTCTTTTAATCTTTTCCCATCCTTGAATGTCCCTCCTTGAGAGAATCACTTTCAGCTTCTGTCCTCCGACTTCCTCCTTGTATCTTATCTCCTTTTTTTTTTTTTAAAACAATATACTTGTACTGTTTCTTGACATTTTGTACTTCCCATTTTAGATACTTAGGAATATGTTGTCTTAGTCACGACACCCACGTGTGCACATGTACACCTCTTGCTCCGTTTTCCCAGTACAGTTGAATCTTTAGTGTTTAGAATTTGCATACTTGGTCCCAGCTAGTTCTTGTACGAGTAGCACTGGGCCCTGACAGTGTTGAATTGTGACTGTGGTTGTTACCATGGCTGGAGAAAGAACTAAAAGGCCTAGTGCCCTCTGTTCTCCATGCTCCAGCCACAAGCCTTGTTTGCTATACAGTTGCAGTTCATGTCTCCCTCTCAATCTTTTTGTCACTTAACGTCTCCGAAATGACACTCTAGATTTTCCTCTTACCTCACTGGCCACTCCTTTCACTGCTAACATTTCCTCTGGACGTGGCCCCTTAAGGTTGAGTGTCCCAGGCTCAGTTCTCAGCCTTCTTCATCCACATTATTTTCTTCAGTGTTCTCATCTAGTCCTCTGGATTTCTATACCAGCTGTATATTGCATTCAGAAAATCTGTTATCAAGGATCTCTCTAAGGTTCCAAAGAGCAAGAACGTCAGTTTAAAGGATAAGGTGCACCTAACCCAAGCCTTGCTATTTTCAGTTGCTTCCGAAGCATCTGAAAGTCGGACAATGAATAAGAAAGACCAAAGAATTGCTGTATTGGTGAAGAATACTGAATATATCATTTAAAAGAATAAACTGTGTTGACAGAAGGGCAACAAGAGTGCTCATTAGAAACAAAGATGGTTTATTTACTTTGGACATATTTTCAGGAGGAACCTGTTCGTAGAGAGGGGCATTGTACTGGGAAAAGTAAAAAGTCAAAGAAGACCCTCAGGAAGAAGGGTTGATGCAGTGGCTAGCACAGTGGGCTTGAGCATGACGGAGCGTGAAGATGGGGCCGGAGAGGGGAAGTGCAGATCTGTTCGTAGGGTTGCTGTGCGCTGCAGCTGATGGACTGCACCTGACAGTAACCACCACCACAGAGTGCGGATGGCTCCCTTACTTGTTTCTAGTCCTGATCTCGCTTTTGAGCCCTGTGTGTGTGTGTCCAGATGCTTGCATGACATTTTCACTTGTCTTAATCCTTAGTCATGTTTCCAAGTTGGAACTCTTTGTTCTACCTGTTCCCTTTTCTCACCTTCGAAAAGCTGTCCTGTTACTTTCCACTGCTACACCCTAGCCTTAATGGCATATAATAACAACACGCTAGCCTAGCTCCCGACTCATCTAGCATGGACTTGTGCACTATCCTGACTGGTCTCTAGTGTGGACTTGTGCACTGTCCTCCTGACTGGTCTCTCTGTTCTTAGTTTGACCTCCTCTCTCTTCTTTGTATGATGACTGGAGTGATCCTTTAGAAATCAAAGACAGATCATACCATGCCCATATAACACTCTTTAGTTGTTTTCCAGTCTACTCAGAATAAAATCCATACCTCTTTGCTGTGACCTGTAAGTCTCCATGATGCAGTTCTTGCTCCCCTGTTTGCCCTCTTCTCATCCTGTTTCCATCTTGCTCTTTGCAGTCCAGCTGTATTTTATCTCAGTCACTATAACATTCCCTTATATTCTCTACACGTGTCACTATCTTAGGTTATGTCCACCAGCTTAGTCCATAGGAATGGTATGCTGCTAGATTTCCAAAGGGCAAAATGAAGCTGGGAATATCAGGTGTTCAAGAACAGTCAGGTGAATAAATGACTAAACAAACGAACAATTATCTTGTCAGAGGGCAGCATCAACCACATGGCTTTTTGCTTTTCTGATTCTTAATGCACAGGTCAGTATGAGTTGCAATACTTAAGGGTGCTTTGGACAGAATATTAAATGATTCAGGAAGCATTAAAAGAAGGTGGAAAGAGTATACAGAGTCACTGTACCAAAAGGAATTGGCTGACACGGAAGAACTTCATGAAACAATGTATGAGCAATAGCCTCTCATGATGAAAGAAGTTCCAGCTGCTCTGAAGGAATTGGCAAAAAACAAGGCCCCAGGAATTGATGGCATACCACTTGACATATTTCAACAGACACTGCCCTGGATGTGCTCACCAAGTTGTGTCAAGAAATCTGGAGGACAACCACTTGGCCAACTGACTGGAAGAGTTCTATATATGTTGCCATTCCAAAGAAAGGTGACCCAACAGAATGCAGAAATTATTAAACAATATCACAATATCACATTTAAGCAAAATTCTGCTGAAAATTATCTAAAAATGACTGGAGCAGTACATCAGTAGAGAACTGCCAGATGTGCAGGCTGGGTTTAGTAGAGGCTGTGGTACTAGGGATATTACAGCTAATGTTAGATGGATCTTGGCTGAAAGCAGAAAGTACCAAAGGAATGTCTGTGCTTTGCTGACTATGCAAAGACATTTGTCTATGTGGATCATAACAAGCTGTGGCTGACTCTGAGAAGAATGGGAATCCTGGAACACTTAATTGTGCTTATGTGAAACCTGTACTTGGACCAGGAGGCACTTGTCAGAACAGCGCAAGGAGACACTGAATGGTTCAAAATCAGGAAGGGTTTACGCCAGGGATGTATTCTGTCTCCATATCTTTTCAGTCTATATTGTTGTTGTTGTTATGTGCCATCGAGTAGTTTCCGACTCATAGCGACCCTATGCACAACAGCTCTAAACCCTGCTCTATCCTGCGCCAACCGCACCGCCTCTGACACAACCATCCCGATTACCCCAGTCACTGAATCAATCCATCTCATAGAGGGTCTTCCCCTCCTGCGCTGTCCCTCCACCCTCCCAAGCATGATGTCCCTCTCCAGGGACCCGTTCCTCCTGGCAACATGTCCAAAGTATGTCAGACGAAGCCCCAGAATCCTTGCCTCCAAGGAGCAGCTTGGTTTAATCCTCTCCAAGATGGATCTGTTTGTTTTCCTGGCAGTCCAGGGTACATTCAGTACCCTTCTCCAGCAGAACACATTATCCAGGAGGCTGGATTCTATGAGGAGGAATGTGGCATCAGGATTGGAGGAAGATTCATTAACAACCTGCATTATGTCGATAACACAACCCTGCTTGCTGAAACTGAGGAGGACCTGAAGCACTTGTTGCAGAAGGTCAAGGACTGCAGCCTTCAATATGGATTGAAACTCAACATCAAGAAAACAAAGATTCTTACCACTGGGCTGATTGGCTGAATGATGATAGTGAAGAGATTGAGATTATTAACAGCTTTAGTTTGCTTGGCTCCGCAATCAACAATCTTGGTACCAGCAGACAGGAAATCAAGAGATAAATTGCATTGAGAAAGTCTGCTGTCAGGGACCTCGCCAGAGTACAGAAGAGCAATGACATCAGTCTGGAGACTAGGTGCACCTGACCCAGGTGATAGTCTTAGTAATTGCTTGTTATGTGTCAGAGGATAGAAGGAGAATTGATGCCTTTGAGCTGTGGTGCTGGAGAAGAGCTTTGAATATACCAGGGACTGCTAGGAGAACAAACAGGTTCTGCCAAACAAACAGGTTTAGCCTAGAGAGGGTGAGCCCAGGCTGCTCCTTGGAGGCAAGGATTCTGGGGCTTGGTCTGACATACTTTGGACATGTTTCAAGGAGGGACCAGTCCTTGGAGAGGGATGTCATACTTGGGATGGTGGAGGGACATCACAGGAGAGGAAGACCGTTGATGAGATGGATTGATTCAGTGATTGGGATAATGGGAGTAGGTGTGTCAAAGACAGGTTGGCACAGGATAGAGCAAATTTCAGGGCTGTTGTACATTGGGTCGCTAAAAGTGGCAAGTAACTCTATGGCACACAACAACAACAACAACAATAATCCATTGGCCATCCACTTCTGAACTACATCAGGCCTTCAAAAACCTTATGTATGGTAGAGCACACTTAGACTAATAGTTATGGCAAATGATGTTGAACCCTCAAATTTGGAATTAGGGCAATGGGGGTTGCTGTGTTGGAATCAGTGAGACTGACTCAGGACAGGGTAGGCTGCAGAGCTGCTATACTATGTCACTATGGGTTGACTTGACAGCACATAGCAACAACAACAACAACAACAACAACAACAATCCATTGGATTCTCCACATTCCTAATTCCATGATCAAAGAACTTCAACACTCTGGTGAACTAATTTTCTCTCTTTTGTTGCCATTGATTCAGAATCATCTCACAGCTGACCCTCTAGGTTTTCAGAGGCTAAAACGTGCACTGGAGCAGATTGCCTGTCTCTCTCCCTTGGAGCAGCTGGTAGATTCGAATTGCCTGTCTTTGAGGTGGTAGCGTTCCTCCTTACTCAGTAGGCCATTGGGCTTCCTTGGCAAACTAATCAGATTGTAATCTATTACGCTTAAATTCCTGTGGTATTCGTTAACAAAGAGCTTAAGTTAAACAAGGTTTTTAATTTATTCCTTTTTTTTTTTTTAAAAAAATTAAAAAATCCCCAACAGGTCACCTGGAGGTAGACCCCTTCATAAGAGGAAAAGACAGAGTTCTCACTGGGACCCAGTGTCTTTAATCGCTCGTGCGCTTAAGCAGAAATTTGCATCCCAAGAGGATGATTCCTTTGACAAAGAGAATCAGTCCTGGGAGGCAGCATCATTTTCTAGCCCAGAAACTTCAAGGATGAGCTATGATAATGTAAGTTAATTTTCTTCTTTCTTTTGAAGTGTCCTAGTGGTTTATCTTGGGGGGATGCTTATACTTGTTGTTTACCATAGGAACTGGGTGTCTAAAATTATTTGAGAGGATCAAGAAAGAGTGGTGTTAGGGATTTAACCTATTAATAACCACAGTTTACTGTGAATAATCAAGAATGTTTTGCCTCTCCCTCGCTCATTGTCAAGTTAGAATCAACTCATAGCTCTAGCGGGTTTCTGAGGTTGCAGACCACGTGGAAGGAGATGGTTCCTCTTTCCCCACAGAGCTGTAGGTGGATTCAAACCTCTAGAGAGGTGTGGTCTTTAAGTCAGGAGCGTAGCGTCCTAGACTTTCTTAGGAAGATTTGCTTAGTAAAGCTTTGGATTATTTGATTAAATAGAGTATAATTGTGCTTTTAAGTGAGATCATAATGATCTTTAAAGATAATCTTATTAAATGCTTAAAAGGATACAAATTACACATCAAACATTTAATTCTTTTTTTTTGTTTCCTTTTTTTTTTTAAATGTGATTTTAACAGAAGTTTACAGAAAAGTAGGATTGCCACTCACTCATTGTTGCACATTTTCTTTCCTGCCTCCCAGTTCACTTTTTTTTTTTTAGGATAAACCAGAAACCTCATTCCTCATTTATTATTGCACAATTTCTACCTCTTCCCCCGCCCCTAGTCCACCTCACTGTGCGTCTCTCATTCTGGACTGCTGCCACACAAACAATGCCTAATTATATATTTCTTTCAAACATTTAATTCTTGATGTGTGACATAGTTATCCTTAAAAGCATTAAGACTTCTTAGTTGACGTCTCTTGTTTAGAAACAATTCTATTATGAGGGTTAGTTTTTCCATTGGAAAGCTTGACAGTGTGAAAATTATCCTGTTCATATTAGTATTCCCTGAGATTAGGAAGTGTGTGTGTGTACAGACACACATTTAAAGTACGATGTCTGGTGTTTATCTTGTTCACTTAGAAAATGATAGCCTTTTTACTCTATTTATGAAAGCTAAAAAATGCAAGTATGTCTAAAATAGAAGCTTAAGACTTGAAATTTATACCTTTGCAAAGTGTTTTTTTCCTTACTTCAATCTTCACAGCAGTGTCCTAGAAAATAAGTGAGTATTGTCTGTAGGGAACTCAGGTGACCTTTTGTGTAAGGAGTTCGCTGCCAACCCAAAGGCAGGTTTTTTGAATCCACTGGCTACTTCAAGGGAGAAAATTGGGCAGTCTTCTGTGTGATTTACAGCCTTTGAAAACCTGCTGGAGAGTCAGCTAAGAGCCAGTACCAATTCCATAGCAATGAATTTTTAAGTTTGAGAATTATAATCCAGGAAAATGAACCTCATCATGCTTAAGTAATTTATCTGTAATCCCAGAGCTAAGCAGAAACTAGAGTTTGACTTGTTAAAATTCTAGAACGCTTGAAAGCCTTCCGTTATCAAAGGTCCTTTCACAGGTGGGAACACCATCGCCCGTGATGATGGATAAATGATGTTTGACTGTGTTGTTTAAATCGTTTACTGTTTGGTGCCTTTTAATAGTTTCTATGCACTCTGCGAGCAGTTTAGAGAAGGACTTTCTTCGTTCTGTGTGTGCTGAGGGCTAGGCCCACTGTTGTTGGATATCACTGAGTTAATACCAACTCATGGTGACAGAGCTCTGGTGGCCTAGTGGCAAGCTGCTCTGCAACCCCAAAGGCATGCGGTTTGATTCCACCAGCTGCCTAGCAGTAGAAAGATGGGCAGTGTCCTTGCATGCCTCTGAAAACCTGCCGGAGGGTCAGCTGCAGGTCGGTTCTGATTAGATGGTACAACTTGGCGATAGAGAAGAACTGCCACAAAGGGTTTTCTAGCCTGTGATCTTTGGAAGTGGATCTGCAGGTCTTTTTCCCTCAGGGCAGTGAGGTGGGTTTGAACCTTTGACCATTGATTTAGAAGCTGAGCCCTGTAGGTATTCCCGTTCTAGCCAGCTGGGAATTCCATCTGTGGGGCTGACGTTGCCTTGCTAAGTGTTGTGCCCTCAGCTCTGAACACACAGCTTAGTCTTCCCCCAACTATGCTGGTTTAAACCCTGAAGGCGCAAGGGCCATCTTGTGCTGGTCTTGTCATGAGACTTCTCCCCCCCATTAATTTGTGTGTCTAACATTTGTTTTATTTCAGTTTGGACATCACACTTCATAGTCAGGACAGTGAACAAAAGGAAGATGTGATAAATACAGAAGATACTGATCAAGAGTATCCACAATGAGAGCTCCGTGTGAATTTACAGGGGAAAATGCCGAAACGCACCAGCTTGCCTTTCACCACTTTCAGAGGTCTCGCCCTCTGCACCGTTCAGTGGAGTCTGTACACTGGGAACATTAGTCTGCAGACTGGCGAATCCTAGTCGGTTTTTCAAAGGTCTTTGACTGTTTATGGTAGTTAGTTGTTTGTTGGTTTTTTTGCTTGTTTGTTTTGGTCCATGTTCATTTTATTGAAAGCTGAATACTTACTAGAAATTATTTTCCTAAGTACTAAGTGTTAAATAGCCTAATATTTCTCATTTGAGAGCAGTAGGCTATCAGAAGCTGTTTTACTGGCTAAGGAATGAATGTGAACTAAGTCCGTATTATCCTGCTCAGCAGATAATAGGATGTTTAGGTTTGTTAGTAATTTTTAAAACAATTATGACTTCCCAAACAAGAGGCTTTGCATCTTTAAAAGTTGATAGTGATCTGGTTTACTTGATTTTGAGGAACCGGGCAAATTTTCAAAAATGGTAAGATGAAAACTATTAAATTAAAAGTCATAATTTGAATAGACTGAGCCTCTTAAAATTCTTCCTACAATGATAAAAGTTCTTAATACTGACACTGCATTTTAAATGGTGTTGTTAATGCACCATCGTGCCACTGAGTTGCCTGTGACTCTCAGGGATTCTTTGAATAGCGGATTTGAACCTCGCCTTACCCTGTGCCGTTCTCACCGCCTCCGATACACTTGAACCCGTTGTTGCAATCACTGCCTCAGTCCATCTTGTTGAGAGTCTTCCTCTCTTACTTTGACCCTTTATCTTTTCAAGCATGATGTCCTTTCCCAAAGACTCACTCCTCCTAACAGCATGCCCAAAGTATGTGAGACAAAGCTTTACTAGTTTCCAAGGCACATCCTGGTCACACTTTAGCCAAGACAGACTTGCTTGTTCACTTGGCAGTCCACGGGCTTTTCAGGATTCTCCAACATTGCAACTGAAAGGCATCAATTATTTAAAGAGTCTTCTTGACTAGTTTTGCCTACTTTGTTTTGTACTTATATATATATATATGCACATCATTATTTTTTTAACTAGTAACAGCAGAGTGTAAAATAAACAAATGAAATAAATAGCATACTTTGAGCTTTGGCTGTGTTTTGTAGAAATTAAAATGAGTTATTTCTTTGTACTGTTTTCTATCTAAAGTCTGGTCTTTTTCAGAGTGCTATAGGTAGTTTCTTGGTTAACGTAAGTGGAACAGGTAAGTTGAGAATAGATCCTCTGGTCCTGTCATTCATATTCTAATGTGATTTAGAAATTGACTTGTTTCCCTAGACCCTTTGCACTACTTTTGGGGAGTGAACCATGTTAAGGGACTCAGCACTCACCCATTTTGTGCGTCACCGCTTTTTCATAAACACTCACTACTCCAGTGGACGTTTCTGTTCTTGTGGCAGAGAGTTGGCTGCCTGACACCACCTCCATCTGCTCCCTGCCTTCCATCTGGTGTGAGGTGGTGATGTTGCAGCCGTCTTGTGACCATGAGGAAAAAGGGTTTGACTCACACAGCACGGTCATCACAGACCTCGTCAAGGCTGTGAAGCACTGCTGGTAAGTGTCTGTCTAGACTTCTCTCAGAAGCACACAGGTGGTGTTGGGTACAAATGAAAGAAATACCACCAAGCCTGCCTCTGTCTCACAAGTGCTGTGTTTGGCCCATTGTTGCAGCCACTGTGTCCCTTGGTCTTGTTGGAGAGATCCCATTTGTTTAACTAACCCTCTGGCAAGCATGACGTCCTCCAGGGACTGGCCTCTCAGAACAACATGCCTGAAGAGCTCACCTGTAGCATGAAATATTGCCATTCTTGCTTCTGAGGAGCAGCCCGGCCACACTTCTTCCATGAAGTTTTGGTGTTTTCTTTTTTTTAAATTTTATACGAAAGTATGTGTGTGCTGTCAAATTGGATCAGACAGGTACAGGAGGCCCCTCCTCCAGCAGAGCGTCTGGTGGGTTCCACGAAGTTTTGTTCTTCTGACAGTCTCTGGTATGTTCACTATCATTCTTAAGGATTTTTCTATTGCAGCCCAAAGCATTCAGAGTGAAATAGCCGGTATCATGGTTTTTATGCCTTTCCTCCCCCTTCCTTCCTCTTGAGAGTGTTTTCTGATATTATTTCTTATTCTGGCAAATCTTCTCTAGTTCTTCTTGCTATTGCTGCTTCTACCATACATTCTTCTTACTTTGCCATTGTGTAACACTCATTGTCCTTGTAAGAATTTTTTTCCCCCTGAAACAACTGCTTTTTAGGAGTCTTACCCCCAAGGCTGTCTTGCATTTTCAGTTTTGTTTTGTCAGATGTTAAAAAATGTATAACCAAACCCACCCCACCTCTCCCAGTAGAGATCTATCTTTGGTAGATCCCGTTCTGTGCTGAGTGAAGAATATTTCTTGACAAACCACATGTTGATATTTTGGGGGAACTGTTCTGTTTTTTTTAAAAAAATAGTTTTAATGAAAGTTTGCAGAAACTTTGGATTTCCATTCATTCACTGTTGCACTTTTTTCCCTGCCTAACCTCCCCCTCCTCCACCCCCAGTTCGCTCTTCTCTTTGAAAAGTAAAAGAAAAATTATTTCATTGTTATACAAGGAACTGTTCTTTTTATAATGGAAGAAGGATGGGAAAGCTCCTTCCATTCTATTAACTGCTTCTGAAAACCCACCAGAGGGTCAGCTATGGGTCGGTTCTGGCTCCATGGTACACAACAACAATGGCGTTTTTTTAAAGGAGTCCTGATGGCATAGTCTGTCAAAACTGCTAATTGAAGGACACTCTGGTGGCCTAGTGGCAAGAAACTGTGCTGCAGTCCTGAAGTTCAAATCCACCAGATGCTCTGCTGGAGAAGGAGGGGCAATCTCCTGTACCAGTCAGATCTGGTTCAAAGGTACACAACAAGGAAAAAAAACCCAACAAAACAACAACAAGCAAACTGCTAACTGAAAGGTCAGAAGTTCCAACTGCTCCTTGGAAGAAATAGGGACAGACTCTTCTCATGGTTTTACAGCCTCAGTGACCTTCCAGTTGGACTGCTCAGTGGCAGTGGATTCTTTTGTATTTCAGAGTCAATTTCTTGCCTGAGCACATTGGAGCACCATTATGCACTGGAATTGTGTTGATCTTGGGTTCTCTCCTGTTTAGAAGAGTGACTACCAGTGTTCTAAGAGATATGACCAAATGCCTTAAAATTCCCTTAGCGAGTTTTTCACATGCCTTCCGCTGATAATGACGGTCTCTGATGACTGTTCTTTTTAACATTTTACCTGAGTGAGTGGAAGCTTGCAGAGCACACTAATACCACGTTCAACTGTCTATACATACTTTGTTTATGGCCCTGATTGCAATCCCCATGTTGTATCATTCCCCAACCTGCTCTCTTTCTGTGCTGCTTGTTCCCATTCACCCCTCCACCTTCTTGTCTTCCCCGCCTTATCCCGGAGTGACAACCCTACCATGAACCTCATACTGAAAAGTGACTCAGACAATTTGGCACAGGGCCCTGCCTCATTCTGTCATATGTAATGTCACCATGAGTGGACTCAGTGGCAGCTAACAGCATTTATAAAAAATGTGTTTGCTTATTCTTTAAAGTTGTCACGAGATGTTGTGAACAATGAAACTGCCCCTTCTTGCATGTTGTTGTTGTTGTTATGTGCCGTCGAGTCGTTTGCGACTCATAGCGACCCTATGTACAACAGCCCTAAACCCTGCTCTATCCTGTGCCAGTTGCATGGCCTCTGACACACCCATCCCAATTACCCCAGTCACTGAATCAATCCACCTCATAGAGGGTCTTTCTCTCCTGCGCTGTCCCTCTACTCTACCCAGCATGATGTCCCTCTCTAAAGACCTGTCTCTCCTTACAACATGTCCAAAGTATGTCAGACGAAGCCCCAGAATCCTTGCCTCCAAGGAACAGCCTGGTTTAACCCTCTCTAGGATGAATCTGTTTGTTTTCTTGGCAGTCCACGGTACATTCAATACTCTTCTCCAGCACCACAGCTCAAAGGCGTCAATTCTCCTTCTATCCTCCCTAGTCATTGTCCAACTCTCTGATGCATAACAAGTGATTGCAAAAACCATGGCCTGTATCAGGCACACCTTAGTCTCCAGAGAGATACTGTTGCTCTTGAGTACTTTAGAGAGGTCCCTAACAGCAGATTTTCCCATTGCAATATGTTTTTTTTTATTTCCTGGCTACTGGTGCCAAGAGTGTTGACCGTGGAGCCGAGCAAACTGAAACTGTGAACAATCTCAATCTCTTTCATCCATCCTGAAGCTACCGATTGGTCCAGTGGTGAGAATTTTTGTCTTGCATGCTACCCGGCAGCTTATTTGCCTGACTCTCAAACATTCATTCTCCCAACTAACTTCTCCGTTTCCTCACATGCCCTAGTTAGTCCTTACAGCTGATTGAGGCATTTCAGCAAGGACAGTTGTCACAACATTCTACTACAGTTTTATATTTTAGGGGGAAAAAGTTGGTTTTCTAATAATACATCAGAAGATCATGCGGGATTGGCGGAGGCAGGCAGAAGACAGCCGTGGTTGCCAGGAGAGGAGGGGAGACAGCTCCCATGTGGTGTATCTGAATCTAGAGGGGGCGGCAGGCTGAAAATAGCGGTTACCTTCAGTGGCCTGGTGCTGTTATGGAGTCGGGGTATCAGATTTGCTTTAGCACTAAGAATATTTGTGCTTTAAAAGATCTAACAATGACATTGGGGGAAAGTTGGTTATTTACCTGGAGGATGGTAAATAATGAAGGTAATAGATAATTTAGAATGTGGCAATGGGGTGAGGCAATGGACTTGAGCATTGTGGAGATCATGAGGATGGTGCAGGAGTAAGGTCAAGTTCCTATCTCCCCGTCTACAAGGTCTCTATTGTAGTTGACAGCATCTGCCAACAGCAGTGAAGGAAGATCTTAATTAGGTTTTATTAGGCATGAGTTCTTCTCTGATTGGAGAGGTTAATTGTACTATGATAATAGCCTTTAGTTACCCTTTGCCCTTGAAGCAAAACTCACCCCTGTGACTCAACCTTCACCCAGTTATTAGGCTTGTAAGGTGAACAGTAGCATACGGGAGATACTCATTCCTTAGAGCAATCCATCATACAAAATCAAAAGGGCAGCATTTGCCCAGGGATAAAACAAGCCTGGAAGCAGGAGTGGCATCCACTTCCGAAATGGCTTGTCTCCCTAAACTCTGAACAGTGCTCAGGGTGGCTATGAGTCATCTACAACTTGATGACACCTAACAACAACAACAACAACAGGGAAGAAGTGGGAAGAATGTGGTTAAATTAATGTCATAAAACAATGTGTGAATGGTTGAGTGGAAAACCAATTTATAAACTTTCACACAGTTCATTTTTTAAAAAATGTGAATACATTTTAATTTGTTTTTACTTAGAGGAAAAAAGTTTAGGGAATGAAGTGGAAGATTTTCATATCAGATTAAAATCCCTTTGCAGGTAGAGACCCACCTCCAGCTTTAAAAATGCAAACATTTTCAAGAAGATGATGCAAAAGGCTAACCCTCCTGAATACATGGCCCAAATATGTTAGGGTCTCTATGCTGTAAATACCTACAGATGCATACCACCACGTCTTTCTCCCTCAGAGTGGCTGATGGATTGAACAACTGAGAGCTTTAACAACAGCCTTTACTTCATCTTCCTTCTCCAGAGCTCGTGGGTAAGGAATTGCACCACCAACCCAAAGGCAAGCAGTTTGAACCTACCAGCTGTTTCTTGGAAGAAAGATAGACAATATCCTCCTGTGATATAGCCCCTGAACACACACTGGAGGGTTAGCTATGATTCAGCTGCACGTAACAACAGCAGCCGACCTTCGCAGTAAAGAGAGTCAACTCGGGGCTGTTCCAGCTTCAGTGCGCCCCACGCAGGACCTGCTGAGACCCCTGTTGAGATGACATAGCTCAGAGTCTCCATCTGCTCAGGTTTGCACAGCCAGTAAGAAGCAGAGCTGGTATTCAACAAGGTCAAGGACCCTGGTCATGTGGTGGTTAAGTACATGGTTACTTCCTAGTCGGTTATCAGTTGGAACCCATCAGCCGCTCAGAGCCAGGGAGGGTGGGCTACTCCTGGGGTGATTACAGCCTTGGAAATGGTGGGACAGTTCTATTCTGTCAGAGAGGGTCACTCTGCTTTGAGATGAGTAGGACAATGGATTAGATGAGTTCTTCAACCCACATTCTTGGTCTTTAGGTAACACTGCCCATGTTTTTTTACATTGACTTTATTTCAGAAAGTGCTTAAAGCAGCTGCTTCTTGCTGTTAGGTGCCATTGAGTCAAACATACAGCAACCCTGTGAACAGACCTGAATCCTGTCCTAGCCTCATTTTCTCTGATACTCTTGAGCCCATTGCTGCAGACACCATATCGTTGATGGTCTCGCTAGTTCACTGACCCTGC